ATGATGGATTTATTCATATCAACTGGGTTTGAATCTCTTTGGCCCAATAACAAAAATAGTTTTAAATTAAAGAAAAATGTACCTTTTTAAACCAATAATTTAAGAAAAATGTATCTGTCACTCTTACAAAACTTAAAATTTCCAACTTTATCTTATTTACTAGTATTTATTTATTTCATCTATATTTGGTCACGTTTCACTTTACAATCTTTTTCGTATTTTGGAAATTTTCACCTCCATACAAGTGGTCTTATTTATAAAAGCCTTTTAATGAATATGATTTCTCGAATCAATTAAGTGCAACTATCCGGTAAGTAAAATTTCATTATAATTGTTTTTCAATTTTTTAGACTAGTAGATACCTTAAATCACGTAATTAAGTATACAATTAAATATTTTTTTTTTGGAAATGTAGGAGGTACCATAAAATTTTCTTAATGATAGGAATCCTTGGAGAATGCAAATAACTTTGAAAGTTTTGGCAATAGAGAACTCGCAAATAGAAGCACTAAAAGTTTTGCGAGTGTCATTATAAGATTGTGTTGATGGAGAACTGTCCATATGTCGTTAACTTTGATGATAGCAAAACAATTTTGTATTGTGTTGAAAATCTTTAGTTGCATATCTATTGAGTATGTAAATAGTAGTGTAGACTGCTTCATTCCAGAAATTGTTATGTAGGTACTTTCTCTTGAGAATCGATCTAACCATCTCTATAACTAAGCGATTCCTTCTCTTGGAAACACCGTATTGTTTAGGAGAATATGCGCCTGAAATTTGTTGCTCTATGATTTCATCCTTGCAAAACTGTCTGTGAGCTATTATAATCAAATTCTAGTTGGTCGAAGGTAGCTTCTTGGTTTTGATAGTTCGACAGAGTTTAGCATATCGTCGAAGATTGCTCACATGCTGGTGTCGAAGTATTGTATGTTGTAGTCGTAGAAGGGTTAAGCATGCAATGGTCGAAGAATGCTAGGATTGTTAGCATCGAATTAGGTCTGTTTGTTATGTCCAATTATTTAAGTTAGCTTGTACCCTAAATTAACTTGTAATAGAAAATTGTGAAAAAGCCCATTAGTTTAGTATGTTAGACTTATTATAAATAGCATACTAGTCTCTCATTGCTCACGATAAATCCTAATTTAGGGTGAGAGGGTAAAGAATATAAGTTAATAATTAATCATTATGTTGTTCTTGTTTTTTCATCTTTTCAAAAATTATTTGTTTCTTAAAAATAAAGAAACAAGTTTATAATTTGTTTCAAGGTATCATTTTTTTTACAACAAATTGGTGCAGTGAGCGTGGAGAAGATGCCTTCAACAAAGTATGGGATTGAAAACTCACTGGAATAAACGATTTCGGTCTATGGCGGTTGAAGATTAAAGCCCTACTAGTTCAGCATGGTCATTTGGAAGCGTTGAACAGAGAAGCAGCCATGAACATTGCGTTAACATCAGCTGAGAAGACGATGATGATAGAGAAAGCCCACAACACAATCTTGTTGAGCCTTGGTGATAATATTATTCGACAGGTATCAAAGGAGACGACGACAACAGGGTTATGGGTGAAACTTGAAAGTTTGTATATGACTGAATCGCTGGTAAATCGACTCTATCTGAAACAAGCTTTGTATTCATTCAAGATGATTGAAGACAAAGTTTTAGTTGAGCAGTTGGATACGTTTAACTAGTTGATTCTTGATCTCTAAAATATTGATGTGAAGATCGATGATGAAGATCAAGCGTTGTTTCTGATGTGCGATTTGTCCAAAACATGTGCTCGCTTCAAAGAAACTCTCTTGTATGGAAGGGAGTCCCTGACATTTGAAGAAGTTCAATCAACCTCGTATTGAAAGGACTTGACGAACGAAAGGAGCATAAACCTTCGATAGTTGGTGAAGGTTTGCCATTAAAGAAATATTCATGCGAAAGGATGGTAAGTTTGATGAGAAGAAGGGTAAAAGTCAATCGAGGTCTTATAGTGGCGAGGCATCTGGTATTCTATGCTATCATTGAAAGAAGGAGGGTCATACAAGAAAAGTGTGTCCTAAACGCCTGAAAGACCATGGAGGAAATGATGATTTCGACTCATCTTATTTTATTGTGGCAAGCAGCAGCCCGTCGAAGGAGTGGATTATGGGTTCTGGGTGCACTTGACACATAACTCCAAATAAAGACTTGTTTGAAGACTTATGTGACCAAGATGGTGGATCTGCATTGCTAGGAAACAACAAAGCTTGTAAGATTGCATGCGTTGGATCTGTGAGATACAAGCTCCATGATGAATCAATAAGGCTATTGATTGTAGTCAGGTATGTACCAATTTGAATTCTCTTGGTGAATTCGACAAGAAAGGATATGTTTTCTAAGGAGAGAAAAGTATCCTACGAGTCATGAAGGGGTCAAAGGAAGTCTTGAGAGGCGTGAAGAAACAAGGCTTGTATTCCCTTGAGACTAAAGTTGTAAGTGGTTCGATAAATGTTATATTCATGAAACTTTTGTCGAAAATAGAAATCTGACACATGAGATTGGACCATGTCAATGAAAGGGTTCTGGTCGAATTAGGGAAACAAAATTTGTTGGTGGAGACAAAGTTGAAAAGCTGAAATTTTGTGAACCCTTTGTACTTAAAAAATCTTACGGGGTGAAGTTCAACAAAGACAAACAAAGAACACATGGATCCCTTGATTACATACATGTTTATCTATGGGGGCCTGCAAGGTGTCCATCACATTCAGGAGCAATGTATTTTCTATCCATAGTAGATGATTATTCCAGAAAGTTATGGGTATTCATCCAGAAGACTAAGGATGAAACTTTTGAGAATTTCAAAAGTTGGAAGACTCTGGTCGAAAATCAAACTGGCAGAAAGGCCAAGGGATTGAGAACCGATAATAGCCTTGATTTCTGCAATGAGGCTTTCGACAACTTTTGTGCTGCCTCTAGTGTTGCAAAACACAAAACTACTGTAGGTACTCCATAGCAAAATGGTTTGGATGAAAGGTTTAATCGAACTATTTTGGAGAGAGTTAGATGCATGTTGACTAGTGATGTGTTAAAGAAGGTGTTTTAGGCTGAGGTTGTTTCGACAACAACATATATGATAAATAAATGTCCTTTGATTGTGTTAGATATGAAGACACTTGAAGAAGTTTGGTCGGGATGTCCACTAGATCTCGACAAACTGAGAGTATTTGGTTGTGCAGCCTATCACTACAACATTTGTTGTCTCTGGCAACACTTTTTTAGGTAACATGTAGAAATTGTTGCCTTAAATTCATATAGGCAACGATTTACGATTGTTGTCAAAAATATGTTTGCAACCCTTGATAATCGTCGCCTAAAATACTTTTGGAGACGTTTATGGAGCGATACTCTTTTATTTTTTGCCAACGGTTGTTAATTGTGCCCTTAACTGCTTTTGGGGACAATTTTAGAGCGTTAAAATATTATTTCTTTAGCAATGTTTGACAATTGTCCCCTAAAATATTTTTGGGGACATTTTTAGATTGTTACATTAATTCTAATAAAAGGCTACATTTCTGAAATGTTGTATAAATTTTTTTAGAATTATCAAATTTTTGGTGGCAATCTTCGCTCCAAAACTTATACACTAAAAAACAAATATTTTTCTCTAAACATTATTAATATATATAAAAAAAATATTTTTCTAACACAGGAATTTAAAAATAAAAAATTTCAATTAAACAGAAAATAAAAAATTATATATATATATATATATATATATATATATATATATATATATATATATATATATATATATATATATATATATATATATATATATATATATATATATATATATATATATATTAGTCTAAAACTTATATATATTTCAATTAAACAGGAATTTTTCTATTTTTAATAGAATCTTTTTTCTTTGTTATCACACAACAAGAACCCACAACTGAGTAACCCACACCAATCTCCCTCTTCTCTCTTCCTAACACCCAATCAACAAAAACAGTAACCACCCCTCTTCTTAATCATTTCTCTTCTTCTACACAACAAAGAATAACAACACATCATACCATCACTCCCCATCAAAACCCAACACGAATCAACATACTCCCTTTCGTTTCCCCTTCTACTCACAACGTCGTTACCCTTCACACATCACTGTAACCCACTTTCTTCTATCTTTCGCTCACGAATCCCTCCACCCTCGATTTCCACCCTTACGAACAATTGCAACAAACAACAATCTAACTCCCTTCCTTATCTCAAATATCCCTCTATTTTGAAATCTTTATCCGTTCAATTATCGGACATACCTCTGTCTCTACACCTCACAGTACTCCCTTTTATTACACTTTTTTATTTTTATTATTCTATTTATCATTATAATTTTCAATTTTTATTTAATGTTACTATTTTAACTTCACACCCTCCGTCGTGTTCTTCGTCACTCCGTCCAACTTCCACGTCGTGTTCGTCGTCCACGTCGTCGTTCGTTCGTCGTTCGCCGTCCAACTGCTTTCATCCACGTCGTCCGCCGTCCACGTCGTCCAAGTCGTTCGCTGTGTTTGTATGTATTTCTGCATTTATATTTTGATCTTCATTTCGTATCGTTGTGTTTGAGTTGAATCTGAGTGTTTTGATGGTTGTTTGAGTTTGTGTGGGCATTTTCATATTTGTTGTTGATATAAGAAGTTGACTAGTAGTATTATCTTTTGCAGCATACTGCCAAGTGCCACTAGTAGTAGTACTACCTTTTCTTGAATTGAAATTAATTACATGAAATTGTTTTTTAGGAGTAGTAAATTTATTTTGTTATTTGAATATGTATATGGCAATTGTAGTAGCAGATTAGTAAAAGGGACATGACGGATATTGGGTAGATATTCTGTCAATTGTAGTAGCAGATTAGTACCAGACGAAATTCTATTCAATTTCTTTCACAAGGTTGATGGAAAATGATGGAAAAGATTACATAAACACTTTCACAATTTCAATCAATATAAATATTACAGTACTCCCATGTTAATGTTTTTTTCTGATGTGCAAGTAGGTTTCTTATTTTGATCTTGATCTTTGTAACTCATAATTGTGTACATTTCACATGTGGCTTTTCACACAATTTACTTGCATTCTGTTTTGGTTGATACTTTATGAATTTGTTGAATTTATCTTGTTAGGCTGTCGGTGGAGTAGGTTCTGGCAGTTTGAATTTGCTACCTGAGGTGAAATTTCTTAGTTTTGTGAAGAAATTTATGTGGATAGTTGCAGATGTTGTTGAATTAAATTAAATTCTTGATTTTTTTTTTGCTGAAATTTCTCATTTTAAAAATAGGAGACTTCTACCATCGTTAAGGAACCGGTTGGGATTGTATATTCAGAGAACTCTTCAAACAGTAATAATTTGCTTCGAGGTATGTTCTCGGTTCTTCCTTTGGTTTGATTATTTTTGTTAGAAAGAGTAAAGAAACAATAAACGGAAGTAATGAACAACCGATGAGCCATACTCGATAATTTTCCCCTACCATTTTCTTTCGGGGTTCTGTTTGTTGCTTTTTAATTACTGTCTATTCTAATTGTTTGGTTGACCTAGATTTGTACTTTGTGAAAACAGGGGAACGTGTAGTATCCAGGGTATTGTCAGCTACGAATGAGGAAGGTCGAGTTAAAGGGGAGAACTCCATCGAACATGTCACATATGAGGAAGATGCTATTGATGCTGACGACAATGATGAGAGACTTACTAAATCATCTAATGCTTCTGATAAAGCATTTGAGGTCTTAGTAAGTGACATATTTACCTCGTGTTTTGCTTGTGATTTATAGTACTTTGTTCATTAAGGGTACAAAAGTTTTCTCAGGTTTCTGATCATGCTAGGAAAGTTATGCATGTTTATTTATATGAGTGGGTTGTGCATCACTTATCAAATACAGTATTTAGTATACTTTCTTTGATTGGTTTTCCTATTATGAGTTTAAAATCTGGCAGTGTAAATAAATACAACACATGCATGCTTCAATCTTTCCTTCCATCTCCTTCTTTGTTTTGACTTTGATAAATATGTATTTTATATTGTCTCAAGTTAGAATTTGAGTTTGAAACAATAAAAAAAGAATAGAAGTTATATCTAGCTATCAATTAATAAATTTTATATTTTCTTTTATTGGAACTCTATCTATGGTCATGGTTTTAGGACCGTACATGTATTAACTTCAATCATTTCCTTCCATACCTGGCTAGCTCCGTTAATTTGGAAAAAAAACAAATGAGTGTTGCAATCAACACTCATTTTTTTCCATATATGTCTGAAAATTACATTAATGCAATGAAGAAAAACCAACCATAGTGCTTACTGAAATTTTTTTCTTTAAATTTGGTGTATCTTCTTTCAGCTTACTATGCAAGGGAAACAACATATTGAATCTTCTAGCAAAGTAAACAATATCAAGCATCATGACGAAACACCGCCTGATGTTCGAGTACGGAAACTAAAGGATCAGCTCATCCAAGCTAAAGTTTATCTTTCCCTTCAGGCAGTTAGGAACATTCCCCATCTCACTCGGGAAATTCGGCTACGGGTAAAGGAAGTTTCACGAACAATTGGAGAGGCAAGCAAAGATTCTGACTTGCCAAGGAAGTAAGTGAGTTTTTAAGAATGTATTTTTTGTACTTGTCACCAGGTTTTCCTATTTTTATATAGCTATTACGTTAGTTATTTCATATTTAGCTTTATTGGGAAGTAGCATACAAATATGTTGAATAGTTCAGGTCTTCATGATCTACATTTTATTCAGTTTGAACTTATATTTGTAATTCTACTAATGCAGTGCAAATGAGAGAATGACGGCAATAGAGCAATCATTGATGAAAGCAAGGCAAATTCAAGATGATTGTGCCACATCCGTGAAGAAGCTTAGGGCTATGCTCCACTCATCAGAGGACCAGCTTCGCGTGCACAAGAAACAGACCTTATTCTTAACACAATTGACAGCTAAAACACTGCCTAAAGGTCTCCATTGTCTTCCGTTGCGCCTAACAACTGAATACTATAACTTGAACTCTTCTCAGCAACAATTCCCCAATCAAGAGAAGTTAGAAGACCCTGGACTATACCATTATGCAATATTCTCATATAACATACTGGCCACAGCTGTTGTTGTGAATTCTACTGCTGCCCATGCTAAGGTAAGTTATTTTCACGTGGAGATTTCCTGAGTTGTTTTTATTCGCCAGGATTATGAAAATGAACACCAAATAAAATAATTTGTTATAGTATCTCTCTGCAGTTAAATTACTATTCTCTCAATGTTTTAACAAACTAATATGTTTTCATTTTATTTGTGCCTAGAGGTAGTGATGGATAAAAAATGAAAACAAAAACCTTATCTGTTACAATATAATGGTGGTATTTTTCTTTCTGATCAGCATAATAATAATGTAGTTTTAATAAATTTTCAGGATTCCTCCAAACATGTTTTCCACATTGTAACTGATAGGCTCAATTATGCGGCAATGAGGATGTGGTTTTTGGCCAATCCACCTGGAAAGGCGGCAGTTCAAGTTCAAAACATTGAAGATTTTGCATGGTTGAACTCGAGTTACAGTCCAGTTCTTAAGCAGCTAAGTTCTCCTTCAATGATAGATTATTACTTTAAGGCTCACCGTGCTTCTTCTGATTCGAACCTCAAGTTTCGGAATCCTAAGTATTTATCTATGTTGAACCATCTCCGCTTCTACTTGCCCGAAATATTTCCAAACCTCAAGAAAGTGTTGTTTTTGGATGACGATGTAATTATGCAGAAGGATCTTACTGGTCTTTAGTCAATTAACTTGAAGGGAAATGTAAATGGTGTTGTCGAAACTTGTACATAAAGTTTTCATCGGTTTGATCGTTACCTCAACTTCTCAAATCCTCTTATTGCAAAGAATTTCGACCCCCGTGCTTGTGGATGGGCATATGGTATGAATGTTTTTGATCTGGTCGAATGGAAGAAACAAAACATCACAGAGGTGTACCATAATTGGCAGAAGCTGGTAAGCACACTTCAGTTTACTTTTCAATAACATCACAAAATTGAATGAAATGCATATACTGTAAACTTGTCTCATTTCTTTCCAAGCTAAACAGGGTGCCAAAATGCCCATCAATGTTGATTGATGATTATGTAGATCTTCACAAGTCAAAGGAAATGGATGCAACCAAGTCAAACAATTGTGAAAAACCGGGCAGCAGCGTTAAACGTAAAGGATATAAGACCGCAAATGCATTCATCTACATCAACTCATGCTTCATGTCATGGAAAGGTAACCATATATACCAATATTATTGATTTATATTTTTCTAATTATGTTATAGTATCAAAATGGTTGTTAATGTATGCAAAAATTTGCAAGTAGTGACAACACCTAGAATAAAGTAAGTGGTTGAAATTGTTTAAATAGTGACAACACCTAGAAGTGGCTGAAACTGTTTTATTTGTGCGAGCTTTCATTGATATTTCACAAACATACTTTCCTGGGATAAGATTATGGAACCCCCTTGTTTGATAACACTCACTATGTATGCTGTAAATTTATCCATATGATACTGAACACCAAAGAAGATACAACAAGTAAGAGTGTTCATCAGAGTTCATTTACTCCAAAAAATAAACATAAAAGGATATCACAAGTTATACATACATACATACATACAGTTAAAGGCTATTGTAAGTCCTGAATAGTGAGCCAAAAACAGAATGGTTTTCATAATTGATTTATTTGCTAGTAAGCTCATGTCACCTATTACAGTTTAGAACGAAAATTCACATCCATTAAAAACCTTCATAATTAATTCACATCCATGAGATGTGAAGAATATAAACAATGTGTTTTGCTCATTGGTTTAGTTTTTATTTGTGCAAGGTTTAATTCTTGTTGATGTCTTAATTGTCCTTTGGACCAAAAATACTTATGGTTAATGTGTTTTATTTTATTTTCTTATGCAGCAATGTATCAATGAAGATGTTGAAAAGGACGATATAAATGATGAAATTCAAGAGGACGACATAAATGATAAAATTCAAGAGGACGACCTAAATGATAAAATTCAAGAGGACGGCGTAGATGACGAATTTCAAGAGAACGACATAGATCTAGATGATGAATTTCAAGAGGAGGATATAGATGGTGAATTTCAAGAGGACGACGTAGATGAAGAATTTATGGAGGATGACATATCTAACGAATTTCAAGAGGACGATTTGGATGCTTTACTCCTAGAAGACAAACTTGAATGAGTTGGATGATGTCTTTTTTTTGGCTTGTAGTTGAAAGCATTAAACTTGAAATATGATTTTTGTTCTTTTGCTGAACTATGTTTTTAGTTATTTTACTAGGGTCATGCTTCAAAGTATTAAAAGTAATATTGTTACGTTAGACATTTTGTGTACTCTATATACTATATCTTGAATTAAAGTTTGAACTCGATTTTATTATATTACAACTTTTATGGATGTATGGTTTAAGTTATATAATAAATATTATTTTTGAAGCCAATTATTATTGACTATATTATTTTGATAATAATTGCAAAATTGTATATTTTATGTGGACACTATAAAACAACAACCTATAAGCTATGGCTACACTTGAAAAACGATCTTCCTGATTCAGGTTTAAGGCAACGATTGTTAATTGTAGCCGAATTTGGCAACGCAACGCTTAAAAAACGTTGTCTCAGAGGCCGTAAATAATCGTCCCCTATTCCTTTACTATAGGCGGCGTTTTTCAAAAGCGTTCCCAAAAAACATAAAAAAAACGTCGCCTCAAACAATAGGCAACGCTCGAACAGGAGACGCCTAGAAAACGTCCCCTATTGTTTTAGGCAACGATTTTCAGAGTTCTGCCAACGTTTTTCAATTGTTGCTGGAGAGCCTAAATGTTGTAGTGCTATGCTTACATTAGGCAAGACAAGGTCGAACCTAGAGCTGTGAAATGCATGTTCATGGGATACCCTGAAGGAGTCAAAGCTTATAGGCTATGGTGCATAAAGTCAGGTCACAATAGGTGTATCACTAGTCGAGATACCATTTTCAATGAAGCTTAAATGGCTTTAAAGAAAACTGATGATGTTGGTTGAAGTGCAGAAATATCTTACGAAGAGCTGGAACAAGTAGAGATTCTTGTTTAGGTGGAGCATGTTGATGCTGAAAAACGTACCCCAAATGAATTCGAAGAAGAAGCAGAAGATGCTGATGAAGTTGAGGAAACTTTCGACGACTATCTATTGGCAAGAGATAGGACGCGAAGAGTCATCAAACCATCTCCGAAACTAAGGTATGCAAAAGAAAAAAGATATTTGGCAGCGACTTTTTTACACCAACTTTCAATTTGCTAACAATAACATGCACATAACAACGACCAATTTAAATCGTTGTAATTAAGTTATTTTTTCTCAACAATCTCATTATCATTGAAAAAAGTGACTTATTGCAACAATAATTATTGTCGTTGATAATGATACAACTTTTTTTACATCCCTATCGCAATGACTTATATAAGTCATTATAATAACTTTTCCTTTTCTCGCAAATATCAAAATATTTTTCGATGAAATAGACTTAAATCTAACAATAACTATTTTCATTTAAAATAATATAATTTTTTATATACATATAGTAGCGACTTTTTGATCATTCTAATAAATTATTTTATCGTAACAATTATATTTTCGTTGGAAAAAATTACTTATTTCAAAAATAATGCTTTGTTTGCAAATATTAAAAAAATATTTTTCAAGAGTATATTCTTTACACATTAGTATGAGCATGCGGAAAAAAAAAGTATTGATTTTTTAAGAGTACTAGTATGAATATCTGGTACTACTTTCAATATAATGATATAGAGAGCACGATCAGAATGAACCGTCCCCTTTTTACCAGAAAAATAAAAATAAATAATGAACCGTCCTCAACCCAAAATCTCCCTTGTATGGAAATAGTGGAAAATATCAGTGTTATGTATTTCATTTATATATGTTAGTTTAAATCGTTATATGCCTTGTCAATACTTGGTTGGGAGATTTCTTTAATCTCCACCATAGAGAGCTAGAGGAATTATCAATCTTAATTGATATTAATCGCCTCTTTAATCGCCTCAACCCAAATGGCTTCTTTTGAGTCATTCGTCAAGAAGAAGTAAATAAGACGGCATTTCCAAAAGAAAATGAAGATCTGACAGATTTTCTACATAGGTGCCAGAAGAAGAAATCGGAAGTAATGTTGTTCCCTAGATGCAATTCTATTTTTGACAAGAAAGTTGCAGAACACATACAAGGTATGAGAATTCTGAAAGCAAAACAGGGCACCAATGCCCAATAAAAAATGGGTTCAGAAGTCAGATTCGACCCAGAAGGGGACATCAACAAGGACCCATGAGTCAGGTAAGGAGGCCACCAACTTTTCAGCCTCCAACTAATGTACCTACAGATACTTGGCTTAACACCATGGGAAAAAAAAGGCCAAATGAGGAGAGATGACAGGCGTTCGATGTGCCAAGAGGTTCCTCTTTAGATTACAGAAAGGAGTACCATGCTTCTACGTCAAATAAGATGACCCATATATCGAGCAATTACAAAGGAAAAAATCCCATGTCCCGTTCACAATGGAGAAGATTCCAAAGACGGCGAAAGGCCGAAAAAGAGGCAGCTGGACCTCACCCAGAGGTTAGAACCAATGTGCAAAGGAAACAAAGGAAGCCTCTAGAGAGGAATCCCATGCCATGGATGGAGGAATGTGGGTCGAATGATGAAGACGACTCCGATTCCGGTGACAGTTTGGACATCATGGTGAATGTCATATCAGTGTTACCTAAAGAATACAACCGTCAGGTCGAAGTTGAAGAAACTGACTTAATGGTTGAACAAGAAATGGCTAGACACAGGCCAATATGTTACTATGTAATGAACAATGGTTGCGTCGAAGAACAAAACGCATTTTTCGAGCCACCAACAGAGGCAATGAAGAATCATCTAAAACCCCTGTTCATTAGAGCAAAGATATGGAAAATAACTATAAATAAAATTCTGATGGATTGTGGGGCAACCATCAATATCATCCCACAATTTATGCTTGAAAAGCTGGGAAAGGGAGATGCTGACATCAAGCCCCATAACATGGTCTTGTCCAATTATGAAGGGGGCATTGGCACCACAATGGGTGTCATACAACTAGACCTCAAAGTGGGATCAATCCTTCGACCCACCATGTTCATGGTGATCTCAGCGAAACCAAACTACAATCTTCTCTTGGGTCGAGAGTGGGTACATGGCATCGGTGTTGTGCCATCTTCGATGCACCAAAGAGTCACAATATGGCGCCCCGATGGTATCGTGGAAAACATTGAGGCGGATCAGAGTTACTACTTAGGTGAAATCAACAGTGTCGGAAAGAATAGTTTCGACAGAAATTTGGCTCATATAGGGCCATGTAACCCACCTGAGTTTGATTTAACCCAACACCTAACGTCTTCTGCTCTCTATACCTACACTCCGACTATGGCTTTCAGTGGGATAGAGAAGACTTATCCAACATCGACTTTGGAAGAGTTGATGATATACGTCCAACAGGCTGGGGAAGTGAGTTTGGTGATGATGACTGAGTCATAAACTCTGCAAAAAATTTCGGCGTATATGGCCGAAAATAGAATGATAACGGCCTTGGAGGCTGAAGTTAAGTATATGGCCTTCGAAGCCAATGAACAAGTCCTTTCTAAGACAGGCCCTGGGAAAGATTTCGACCCAGAGCCTCCCGACTTAGAAACGAAGACCTTCGAGATCATAGGTTAGACGCCATCTATGACGATGAACCCCTAGGTTTCGAAAAGGACCCGTTGGCGAACAATGTTAGAATGTTGGCTCAAGACCCTCTAGAAGAAGTAAACCTGAGCGACAGTCCTGTGAAAAAGCCAACGTACATAAGCACAAAAATAGATCCAGGACTCAGGGTCGAAATGATCCAATTACTAAAAGAGTTCAAGGATTGCTTTGCGTGGGACTATGACGAGATGCCTGGTCTCGACAGAAGTTTGGTAGAGTTGTAGTTGCCAATAAAGCCTGGAAAGAAGCCCGTTAAGCAGACTCCAAGACGGTTTGCACCAGAGATTTTATCAAAAATCAAAACGGAAGTCGAAAGGCTGCTGAGATGCAAGTTCATCCGAACGACCAGGTACGTCGAATGGATTGCAAATATTGTTCCTGTTATAAAGAAAAATGGTACCTTAATGGTGTGCATCGATTTCAAAGATCTGAATGCTGCAACACCCAAAGATGAATATCCAATGCCAGTGGCGGAAATGCTTGTGGATTCTGCCGCTGGTTTCGAGTACATGAGTATGCTTGATGGCTACTCTGGATATAATCAAATCTTTATTGCTGAAGAAGATGTGTCAAAAATGGCATTCCGTTGCCCTGGGGCCTTAGGCACTTATGAATGGGTAGTGATGCCCTTTGGCCTAAAGAATGCAGGGGAAACTTACCAGAGAGCCATGAATTCGATCTTCCATGATTGTATTGATACTTTCATTCAGATTTATATTGATGATATTGTTGTCAAATCTGTTTCAGGGAGGACTCACATGGATCATCTTCGACAATCCTTCGAGAGGATGAGACGATAGGGCCTGAAGATGAATCCTCTAAAATGTGCCTTTGGTGTCAAAGCGGGAGATTTCATAGGTTTTGCGGTCCATAAAAAGGGCATTGAGATAAACCAAAACAAGACCAAAGCTATCTTGCAAGCCAAAGCGCGAACTAACAAAAAGGAATTGCAATCCTTACTTGGAAAGATAAATTTCCTGAGGAGATTTATATCCAACCTCAGTGGGAAAACCCAAGCCTTTTCGCCACTACTTCGACTCAACAAATGAGGGTTTGAGTGGAGGCAAGAACATCAAGAAGCCTTCGACAAAATCAAAGAGTACATCATCAAACCACCTATTTTGGTGCCTCCTTGTCGAAGTAGAAATATGAAAATGTACATAGCTGCGTCTGATAAAACTTTAGGAAGCATGCTAGCTCAAGAGGATGAGCATGGTGTCGAAAGGCCCATATACTACCTCAGTAGAGTTTTAAACGATGCAGGAACCAGATATAACGAGGTTGAAAAACTGTGTTTATGTCTTTATTTTTCATGTACAAAACTTAAGCAATATATAAAGCCAGTTAATGTTTATGTTTCGTCTCATTTTGATGTTTTCAAATATATGTTGTCGAAACCCATTTTATACAGCAGAATTGGCA